TGTCCTTTGAATTTATCTCTCAGTTTCTAATCTTGATCCTTTTGCACCTACAACTTCCCAACTACCTTGCAATCTTTTGATCAGGTTTGAATTCCTTGCTTTCTTAAAAACTATTGGATCATTTCTGTGGTTACATGTCATTATGTGATTTCTTCATTTTAATGTGTTTTTCCTACTTCTTGGTCTTTGTTGCTCATGTCATCTTTTTGAGGCATTTCTCCTCTGCCTCTAGCAAGATTAGTTGTTGTTCACTTATAGCTTGTCTTCTTTCATGGACCTTTGCTGAATTTTACTCTAATTTCTGCTTGTATGCCCGATTCTTCTCTTAACTCTTCCCTAGGTCCTCAGCCTTCTCTCCTTTCTTTTTTCCCTTCCCCTTAATTTGTACCATTGCTCTGCCTGTCCTCTCTGCTGGCTCACTTTCTGTCTGTCTTGCATTGGCAAAGACATTCACCCCCAGCTCTAGCATTAGTGTTTTTTTAGCACATGCAATCTCAGAAGGAGACTCTTTCTTCATAGTTGTATAAATCTGGGAAAAACTGGACCATTTTTATTGACCAAATCTTGCTTACCTCTTATAACAAAGGGAGTGGAGTCAAATCCCATCTCTACCCCAGGAATGGTGAGGGGAGGTTGGGGTGGGGAGGTCTCTTGAAAAGAAAAGAGGGCTTCTTTTGCCAGGCAAAGGAGAGGTGTGGTAGGTTTTAGTAATTTTGCTAGCAAAATTAGTAGAAGATTGTCTCTTACCAACTGGGAGCATCTTCGATTCTTCCATGAAATTCATTTATTCTGTCTCTGTCTGTCTGTCTATATCTGTCTGTCTGTCTAGCTATGTAATTTATCTTCATTGTGTATTTGGTACAGGGTCTCACTATTCAGCTTGGACTCCTAGTGATCCTCTTGTTTTCAGCATCCCCAGTGCTGGGAATACAGGCGTGTGCCACCACTCCCAGACTATTTCACGCTCTGTGCCCTGGGGGCAGGGCCTGTGTGGCATGTGGGACTGGGGATTGAACCCTGGTCCCTGCGCTTGCCAAAGCAGGCTGTCTGCTGAGCTAGCTCACCAGCCCTTTCCATGAAATTCTTTACATTTTTGTTGCAGTGAAATTTTCTTTTGTACTTGAGAATATATGTTACATGATATCATGCTTAGCTTCTGAAATCAGACAAGATCAGGCGCTTTCAGGGTGATATGGCTGTAGACTCACATCAACATTATTCTTCATTGCTATTCTCTCTACCTTGTGCACTACCCTAAGCTACTTAGGAAGGTATGTAATATGTTTCCAGCCAAAATCAGGGCTATTAAGACCCTTCTGTGTAATCCTTCTTTCCAGGTGGCTTGGAAAGCTGAGGCAGAGGGATGGCAAATTGAGCCCAGCTCAGGGAACTCAGTGAGTCCCTGTCTTAATATAAAAAATTTTAAAAGGGCCAGGGATGTAGGTCCAGTGTGAAAGCCCTATGTTCAGTCCTCCTGTCCCCCAAACTCCTTTATCCTGTATTTGTTCGTTAGATACCTACTGGGTTTGTAGGTATTGTGCATACAACAAACACCAACAAATGAACAAGTAGACTGGTCTACATGGAATTAGCCCTCATGCTTTATAGGTTGTTGGATCTCAAATTTAAAGACCTTTGTAATCCTTTCTTGTCCCTGCTCTTTTTCTTTATATCCCTTTTTGGATATTTTAATTATCCAAATTACTTTATTTTTCTCTTCTCTCCTAAATCGTATACTCCACAAAGGTGTGAGTTATACCCCCCAACTCACAAATGTAGGTGAGTGGTTCCCCCCCCCCAAATATATGACATAATGCTTGTCTAGACATAGAATCTATCTATCTATCTATCTATCTATCTATCTATCTATCTATCTATCTATCTATCTATTTGGTAGAGGATCTCACTATGCTGGTCAGACTCAGTGATCAGCTTCCTCAGTGCTAGGATTACAGGCTGCACGCCAGTTTTAGTGGCCAGCTCAGCACACCCAGGTTCCAGGCCGACATGGCGTGTCGTACCAGGGATTGAACCAGGTTCCTTGTATTTGCCGGGCAGGTGCTTAGACCTCTGAGTTATCTCCCAAGCCCTGAGTTAATTTTTTATAAGTATTCGTTGGGTGATTTATGAGCGGAAGTGCACTCTGATAAAAAGTTTGATAAATTTGTATCTTTAGGCCTTCAGCAGCACACATGAAGGCTCACGTAATTCCATTTAGAAATCTTGGGGGATAGTTTTAGCTTGCTATGAAACCTAATATTGTGATGATTCAACATTGTTGTGTACTGTAAGCTTTCTCTGGCTTCCAGCATCAGACTCTTCACTCTTAGATTTTTCAGAATCCCATGCTTAGAGAGAGGATGATTGGAGAGCTAACACTTGTGATTTTGTTTACTTAATTGTGAAGGAGAACAACTCTATGTTCTAATACTTTTCAAGATGTACATATTGTCAGGCCTAGTATTTATTAATAGTCACAGCTTTCAGATTAACAGACTAAAAAATGTTTCTGGATCTAGTAAAGGCATTATATTGTAAAGTACTATAGCTGAATGTTTTTGATACAAGTCCTGAATGTAGTTTTGTTCTGTTTTGCCACATAGTCCAGACTGGTCCTAGACTCACTATGTATCCCAAGCTGGTCTTGAACTTGCAATCATCCTCCTGCTTCAGCCTTCTGAGTGCTGGGATTATAAGTATGAAACCCCAGAGCTGAGGAAGCACCACTTTTTATGAAATTAATATTTACACAGTAAAAGTCAAATTTCTGAGTGGAACTGAGATTTATATCAAATTAGGGTTGTGTTGTACAGAAAGACATTAGGCAGCTGGGGACTACATGAGAAGAAAGGATTGAGGGTTTTTTTTTTTTTTTTTTTCCCTTTTGTACCAGGGATCGAACTTAGGACCTTACACTTGCCAGGCAGGCACTTATGCCACTGAGCTATCTCCCCAGTCATGAGTTTCTTTTTCCTTCACACTTTTATGATTATTATATATAGATAAAATCCAAACCAGTTAATGGTTTTAAACTATAGTCCAAGACAATGTCGCCTCATCTGAACATCCTGATAAGGTCTAGGGCCTGTACAAAGTATGGACCATGAATGAAGGTTTGGAAAAAGCCTCAAGACCTCAAAATAATCTAAATGGGAGTGTTTCACCTAGAGAATAAATAAGAATGTTCTTCCCTCTGAAGTTACAACAGCCCCATTTTGCTTGTAGTAAAACAGTGACCCCACAGGAAGGAAATGATATTCCTTAAAAACCTGATTAATCATATAAATATAGACTGAGCCTTAATTGGTACAATTGCCATCTTAGTGCTTGCTTACCTTCATACTTGAAAGTATATGCTCTCTATTTATTGCTTGAAATTCTATCTCATTTTTCAATACACTCTGTCTATACTTTGTACAGTTGCATATCTTTAAAAATTTATTTAAAAAATATTTTATTTAGTTATAGTGTGCAGGGTCTTGCTATGCGAGGTTGGACTCTTAGCGATCCTCCTATCCTAGCCTTCCCTGGGCTCGGATTACAGGTATGCACCCAGGATTCCAGGGCCAGTGCAGAATGCGGTACCGGAGATGGAACTCAGTTGTTTGCACTTGTTGGGCAAGCTCTTGGACCATGGAGCTATCCTCTTAGCCCAGAGTTGCCAATCTTATGTCTGCCTTCTTACACTGAAGTCACAAAGAACCCAGGAGCCTTGTTGGTTTCTGAAGGTATTAGTAACTGTATTCCAGGTGATGTTAATGGGCCTTTTGTATTTTATTTCATATGCTTTAGTTTGAAATATATACTTATCCATAATAACTCTTCTGGTTGGATTTAAGCTTGTCTCACTTTAAAGTTAAGTTGTCTTTAATTAGCTTAATGAGCCTGTGTTCTCATTGGGCTATCTGTAAATATTTCAGAGTTGTAAAAATATTTTGTCGTTTTTCCACAACTCTGCCTCTTTTTCCTGTACTGGAGGTTGAATCCAGGGCTTTTACACAGAGTTACATTCTCAGTCCTTTATTTATTTTTTATTTTGAGACATGGTCTTCAAATCACACAGTTGCCCAGACTGGTTAGCTGTTCCAAACTTTTGCAAGCCAAGAGTATATAGCAGTCACACCCTTTTCCCCATAGGGGTGGGAGGGAGCAAAAGTGGCCAGAAAGGAAGAAGAAAACCTAGAGGTGTCTGTTGTCTCATTGCACTACCTTTCCTCTGTGTTCCTTACTGTAAAAGGCTCTTGCATACCTGGACACAATGAAATGGTGATTTGTGGCAATCTGAGTCCCTTCCATCTATGTAGAGCTAGCTCTGCATTAAGGTCCTCTTCACAGTGTGCTCCCACTTCATGGGATTAGTGTTATGTACTGGTCATAGTTTCTAACAAAAATATGCACAATAAGATTTAAACAACTTGTTTACTATTAATAATTTGGTGAACATACAAAGTTGACCTTGAAGAAGTATACACTAGAGATGAAAGATTATGAGTGTACCATTATTCTGAGAGATTACCAACTCCAAAAGGGAGTGTTTCTTCCATACATTGGCTTTTCTTTGGCTACATGATTATTGTGTACCAAACAGAGATGAACATATAGTCCTAGAGTAGATCTTTGAGGCAAAAATTGCTGGTAACTTTCCATGTATGTTAAAGACATGTTATGTTCTTCAATGGTAGGAAAACAGTAGATTCAAATATAAGAGCCAATGACTAACAAAAGATCTAATATTTATGCTTGGAATAATTCTTACATTAAATATATTAGTCTTTTTAAAATAATATGTAATTGTTGAATAAGTATGAATTTTTAATTTATAGTTTATTTAGAAAAGGAGAGCAATCTTAAATTTCTTTCTTTTTTTTTTTTTTTTTGGTACCAGCCATGTATCTCATGACCTTGCATTTGCCAGGCAGGTACTTATGCCACTGAGCTGTCTCCCCAGCCCCCTTAATTCATCAAAATGGTCTTTATTCTGTCTCTTTCTATTTCTCCAGAGATATTACATATGAAATATCAGTGGCAGCTATATCAACAGTAGTTGTCTTCCTTTCCTGCCAACTCTTCCACAAAGAAGTTCTGCGACAGAGCATCAGTCACAAGTATTTGATGCATGGCCCATGGTATGTTTTCTTGTTTTACATTTGTCAGTGTTTTATTGTATAACCTGTATTTCTGTATAACCTGTACCATCTTACCTGAGTATTGTCCTATATCTCCAAGCAGACGTTTCCTCTGGTTGTACTTCATACCTTACATATAAGAGACCAAAGTCTGTTTCCTGTCAGAACTATACATCCTAAGCTGGGTGTGGTGCTGCACGCCTGTAATCCCAGCACTCTGGAGGCTCAGGCAGGAGGATCAACATGAGTTCAAGGATAGCCTGGGCTACAGTGAGTTCAAGGCCAGTCTAAACTATACAGTGAGACCCTGCCTCAGAACAGAACAAAACAAAACACCCCTGATATATCCTCCCTGTTCTTTTTGTCTCATGATTTCAGTTACTGTTTCTAGAGGATGCTTTGTAGAATTGAAACTTTGAAGTCATCTTTTTTTCCTTTTCCTTTGTTTTCTCAAGAAGTTATTAGGTCATATTTGTGTACTCAAATTGTTTTTGTATCTGCACCTTTTCATCATACCTTTGAACCTACAGGTGTTCTTTGCATCCATAGGGGATTGTTTCCAGGCCCTTGCAAAGATATCCAAATCTATAGGGCCCAGGTCCTTCATATAAAATGTATATATTCTATGCGCATCTGTACATGTTGCAGGTTTATATAAAACCCTGCGCATCACTACAGATGCAGGGTTTTTTTTTTCCTGTGGGTATTTTCAATTTGCAGTTAGTTGGGTTTATATATATGGTGTCTGAGGATGCTGGGATCTGAGATATGGAAGTCTGATTATGCTGTAATCCATGACTTGTGACCATGCCAATGTTCTCTTCATTGACCCTTCTTTCATTGAGCCAGAAAACATGTATTATGTGCTGGCTGTATACTGGTCATGTGTTCGACTTGGCTGTGCTCCTGAACAGAAGCTCATATTCTCCTAGGTGGTGGACATGTGATTGAAAAATATGGTGAATGTTTAAAATTTAAAATATTACAGTAAAGAGCACATTGCCATTAATCCCTCTCAAAATACTTCCCTTCACTTCAAAATACTTAGCCCATCATTCTTGCCCTTTCTGGAGCCGTAATGTTAAGCCCTCTTTTGTGAGTGCCCTTAATTGTGTTGTCATGGCTGTCTCAATGTCTTATATCAATTCAAAATGTTAAATTGTGTGTGTGTGTGTGTGTGTGTGTGTGTCTGTGTGTCTGTGTGTCTCTGTGGTTACTTTGACTTTGGGGAAGAGCTTGAAGTCATACAGTATCTTATCCAATAAATAAGGTAGGTAAAGACACACTAATGTTTTTACAATCCTGCCTTTCCATTGGATGACACACATTAGCAGCATTCACTGTATTCTCTATCATGCCTCATAAAATCCTCACAAAAGAGGACTTCCAGAACTGCTCCAGAAAGTGAAACAAATGATGGAATAAGTATAGTCAAAGTGAAGGAAAGTATTTTGAGAGAGGATTAATGGCAATATGTTTTAGTGCAGTAGAAATTTTAAAAATCTACCATATATTTTACCTCATGTACATTATACCTCATGTACACACATACAACCTTCTAGTGACATAAACTTCACAAAACTTTAAAATAAGATAGCTTTGATTAAATTTATCTGGTAGGAGAGGAGCTTTGGGTCCTTTGTGTTCTTCTTGCTACCTTGATTATATCCGTGGCACATTCATAGCATCCCTGAGAGCTTTTGAGAGCATGTGTAGGTCTGTTCTGTTGCGAATTCCACAGTAGCACACATGGGGTTAGTTATAAAGAAAAGAGACGTACTTTTGGCTTACAGTTCTGGAGGTCTATGGTTGAGGGTCTACATTTGGTAATGGCTTTCTTGCTGGCAGTCTTAAGGCATCACAGAACATCACATGGCAAGAGACAGGGAGCATGTGCCTTCTCTGGTTTTCTTTCTCTCTCTCTCTCTCTCTCTCTCTCTCTCTCTCTCTCTCTCTCTCTCTTTGTTTGTTTCTCTTTTCTTGTAAGGCCACCGATTCCATCATGGGGTCTCCACCCTGATATCTTTATGTAATCTTAATCACTCCCAAAAGCCCCACTTCTAAACATTGGAATCAGATTGTTTCTACCCTCTTAATATCTCAGTGAGGATTAAACTTGGCAAATTGCAAAGGAGATGAGCCATATTAATCTATTGTGAAGATATTTGAAAATTGGCAAGAGGGAAAGAGCCTTGGCTTTAGAAATGAGAGATGTACCTCTAAACCTTTTTCTGACAAAGCATTTTAAGGCTTTTGAGCACCTTTGTTAAAACAAGACTATGAACTTTGTTCCTTCTAGTGCTAGAAGTGTTGAAGTTGCTTTTTCCTGAGCCTGATTGCTTTGTTGAAGCAGCCACTTAAAGAACTGAGCTAAGGGGCAGGCCCCCGAACAAAACATTTTAAAATAATCTCAGTTTTTTGGCAACTCATCATATCATTGCAAGAAACAAATTTGACCTTAATAAAAGTTTAATTTTGTGAAAAACTGAGGTTGGACTGTTTGTTCATATGGAAGTTAAAACATGTTTAAAAAAGAACCTGGCAATAAAACCAGCTTTATCCTGAAATAATTGTGTAAAAAAACTTCAGAAGGATATTTTTGTTTTTGGCTGGCTCAGGCTGCCTTAAAGGCAGGTCTGGTGAGGTATGTGGAGCTGGGGATCGAACTGCAGTCCCCTGCTCCTGACTGAGTTTGCCCAAGCATGTGCTTCAAACAGCTGAGCCAACCTGCAAGCCCGCTGCTCTGCAAGCCCCCCCTCTTTCTGATTCTATATTCCTATCTTCAATTGCCAGGTATTGTATTATGCCCTAAGCTTATTAGTATCTCTCAGTATTGTATAAATTGCAAGTTAGGTACTTGCTGGTCTAGAGTTTTAAAGACTTGACCAGTATCTTCTGTTGTGGTATGCGGCAGAGCCAGAAGTAAGCCTCAAAACTAATCTCAGCTCCATGGTCTTGACTGTTAAGTGACACTGATGGGTTTGTTTGAGTCAATATTAATGGCAGAATTGTTTCTGTATCATGCAGAATTAGCTGACTTCCATAAATATGTTTTTTTTTTTTCTTTTTGTGTAGTCTTCCATACACCAGCAAACTTGTGAAAACCTTACTGTATAACTTTATCAGACAAGAAAAGCCACCACCTCCAGGATCCCATATTTTCCCTCAGCAGTCGGATGGAGGAGGACTGCTATATGGACTGGCATCAGGAGTAGCAAGTAAGACCTGTCAGATTTTTTTCAATTCTTAGATATACATGTATTTTATTTAGGCATAAGAAATTCTTTTCACTTGGCTGCTGTCATTTAACACTTATATTGGGTCTCTGCAGCTGGCTAAATGTGAAATACTGAAAGTAATTAAAATATTAATCATTTTATTCTGTGCAGTGATTTATGTTAAACATGCAAAAAATAGATTATCTACAAGAGCATTTTTCAAGAAGGTTGCTTTATATATAAATATACATATTGCAGAGTTCTAGGTACATAGTAAAAATAAAATTAGGCTGTTGGAAGATTTTTACTGCCTCATTATAACAAGAAATATATTTCAGAGACTTTATTGGTTAAGATTTTGTATGGCTGATTAAGTATAGTTTTCCTATTATACTCAGTATCTCATTTGTTCAGTGATAAATTAGCACATTTGGAAGAGTTTTATAAAGAACTCTAAAGTGATGAGTGGTGCAAACTTGAATTTTGTCTAATCGGGAGCAAATGTGATACATGAGAAAGCCCTCTTTCCTTCTCATGGTAAGCCCTCATTTCTGCTTCACGGGCTTCAGATCTGGAGATGCTCAAGTACTGTGCAGAGTACTTTGGTTCCTCCCTTTTGTCTGCCTCAGAGGCTGTGCTCATAAGAGCTTAGGTGAGTTAAACTTTTGGTATTCTGAAAAGGAAATAAAACGCAGAGTAACACTTGGGCAGTCATCAGGTTTGCATGGGTGGAGACATTATTAAACCAGCAGTATATTCTCTCCATACTCAGGAGTACAGGGTCCACACAGAGCTGATTTCCACAGTGAAATTAAGGCTGGGGCATGCTCTCCATGTTCACATCAACACATCATGTGTGGAAAAAGGCAGTATTACATGACAGCTTATTAGATAATGAGGCCTGGTAACTTCTCTTTTAAAAATGATAAGCTTGTTCTGTTGCTTTATGGAATTAATTAATGAATCAGGCTTTCCAGATTTGCCCTTTTTTTTTTTGAGGTACTGGGAATTGCACTCAGGACCTTGTGCTTGCCAGGCAGGTGCTTATGCTGCTGAGCTATATCCCTTGCCTTAGATTTGCCTTTTTCGGTCAGTTGGTCGGTCGGTTGGTCCTTCCTATTTATAGCCTCTCAAGAGCTGGAATTACAGGCATGTACCACCATGGCCAGTCTCAATTGCCATCTCAGCATGCGCCAGGGGTGAGGCCAGCACTGCCTACTTGGGGATTGAACCCCTGGCCCCTGTGCCTATTTGTAGGTGTTTTAATCCGCTGAGCTATTTGGCCAGCCCTTTGGACTTCTTTTAATATTATGAATTTAAAAACATTTGTAGTACTTAAAGCCTTGTCTGTGGTAATAAGCAGTTTGGTAGATGCCATTCTTGTGTCACTTCTTCAGGTTACTCTCATGTAGTACCGGCAGTATCAGTGGGCAAGCTGTGTACAGCTCCTCTACGTCCTCCAAAGTTAACACACACGTGGCATTTGGTGTCTCATGGAAAGTTTAATTAATGTTAGTGTTTTGCTTTGACTTTTTCTCTTTTTTATCATTAATGTGGTATCAGTACTTAGACACTGAGCATTTTCTAATATTTTAAGATAGAATTTTGAGGGGAGGTAAGCTCCCCTTAATTGCTTATTTCAAAACAGTGATAGTATGGATAATATGTGGCAAGTTTAAAAAAGATTAAACATTTATGTGCAATTATTTCTCCCAGTTAGGTATTGTATCAGAAGGAACTGCAGTATTGCGTGGTACCATTAGTCTTCTCGGTACCAGAACACATGAATTATGAATTTCAGAGCTGTCTAGGAGTACATAGTTACCAGCACATCGTAAGATGCTCTCTTAGTTTTCCTCTGTTTTCTTGTCTATCAAGTGAGATTGAAGTTGGAATAATAAATGAGATAATGTTGTGATATTTTATAGTCTATTTTTCAATAGCTTAAAATTTAATATTCATTTAAAAAATTAAAATAGATTTATGGTTTTTAGCATACTTTGGTTCAGCAGTGGTGAACCTGTGGCACATGTGCCACTGCTTACTGCCTCTTACCACTCTAAAAGGTTTGCTGTAACTGCGACAGCCACAAACATACTTTGCAGACTTCTTTTCCTAAAGCTTTATTAAGATTATTCCTGTGAAAGCATAAGTCAGGATGGGGTGATTATGGATTCACTATTTCACAACATATGACACAAAAAGTTATGAAGACAAAAGGACATTCTTCTAAAAAGTGCACCAATAACTTGTATGTATTCCAGGACAAAATCAACTAGTAAAACTAACTGGAGGAGCAAGTCTTGTCTTGCTGTTTAAGCCCATTGTTTTCCTGTCAAAGAAAAGGCGTTATCCTCTCCGTTAAGAACAGAGGTGCAGCACCTTTCTACTATCCTTCATGAGAGGAAAGAAGTGACCCCACTGGAATCCTGGCATAGCTCAGCATTTAGCCTAGGGAGAGATGCTTGCTGCTGCTCAAGGGGCAAACCTATGCAAAGCAGAATTGGGGGACATTGCTCAGGAAAAGCTATTGCACGTGCGCGCGTGCGCACACACACACGCACACACACACAACCAGCCCCAAAAGTGCAGCTATGTATGTGGGCAAAATAAAGTGTAAAAAAGATCACAGTCATCTAATGAAAGCACATTCCACTAGTCAATCAAGTAAATGAAATTTGACTTAAATTGTGCTATCACTTTTCATAATTTTTTAAGATGATATTTAAGAAATTTTCTTACCTTAATTTTGGCTTTCAAAAATATGATTTGTAAGTTTCTCCTTGAAAAAATGTATATTTCAAAGCCAAATACATATTTTAAGCTCTTGGGCTATATTCATTTTTGCTGTGATGAGATTTTTCCTGGATGTAGAAAACATTTCCTTTCATAGCAGTATGTTTTTAAAAAATTATTTCTTTTGAAACTTATTTAAAAAATTTAGTCTTGGATATTATAGCTTTCTTGGCACCAGCAGGGGAGGAGGAGAATTTTTGTTTTAGAACTAGGGTGTGAATGAGTGGTATGAAGACACATACTGATAGCCTTTTAGATAGCCTTTTGAGTCAGACAAGGCCTTTTCCAGTTTACTTTTACAGATGCAGTTTTTGTTGTTGTACTCTTTCCTAGACTAGTGAGGAGACTGTTGCTTCATGCTTCCTGGCAGCCTCCTTTTTCGTGCTTTACTTGCATCTCAGTTTCACCTTGTGATGACTCTGGATTTTCTGCCCAGCCACTGTGGAGGGCAATCCCCTAGCTAGATGTGATCTTCATCTGTGGCTCTACCACTTGACTATATATTATATTTATGTATAAACATGCTTCATTATCTCTACATTGCTATGATGTAGATAAAATGATAGTTAATGTTTATATAACATTTCCATTTTTACAAGGAAACTTTCTTACCATCTCACTTCATTTTCATAGTGATCTTACCTGCATGAAATAGATATTTCTGCCCTTTAAACATAGAAGATGAAGAAACACTCCTGTTGTTTTATTATTTTAAGGTAACAGAGAAAAGAGGTGATGTTTGTAGTTGAATTGAGTTTCCTTGACTTCCTTTGCTGTTTTGCCTTTCATTATTGTGATCCCGAGTTGGTGGCAGCTGCTGCTGTTGTGGATGTTCACTGTAGTGTCTGCTGAAGCACCTTACCTGTACAGACTGTCAGTAAATACTTCTGTGCAATAAAATACTAAAGGGCAATACTTTTAAACACATAAGACCTGTGAACTCAGTTGTAAAAACCACGACTATTATTAACTTCCTTCTGTTTGACAGGTACTGTACTAGTGCTTCATGTACATGTTTCTTGTAATTTAGTTTTCTGTTTTTCATGTTTTAGTATGCAAAATTTCAAAGATGTACAGAAGCAGAGAGAATGGTAGAGAACTATCTACTTACATAACCTGTCTTCCAGATTGATCAACATTGTACTATTTGTTTTATCTTCCTTATTCTATGTTTTAAAGCTTTTTATGGACAAGTTAACACATGAAGACACATTTTAAAATCAGTATACTACAAAAGTTATCTGCAGCTCTATCAAGACTGATTTGTTAACATTCCATTTCCTTTGTCCTTAGCTCTGTCTCTTTCTAGGTGCAGACACATGAACACAATTTTTTTAACTACTTGAGTGTAAGTAATCTGTATCTCCTTATTGTTTAAATACTTTAGTATGGGGCTGGTGAGATGGCTCAGTGGTCTAAAGCACCTACTTAGAACAAGCTTAGCAAAGCACAAGGGACTGCGGTTCAATCCCCCAGCACCACATGCCAGCCAGCCCCGCCCCCTGGTGGGCTGAGCTGGCCACACACACACACACACACACAAATAAATAAAATAAAATAAAATTAAAAAAAAATACTTTAGTATGTGTATTTCCTAATGGGGATACTTTTTAATGCAACCACAATACACTTATCAACTTTATTAAATTTACCATTCACCTACCCTTAAAATAAATGAGGTGGGTATTTGGTTTTACCTCAGTAAAATACAGAAATGGAGACTGTCAGGGCCCGCCAGATAGGTCAGTGGATTAAAGCGCCTGCTTAGGCAGATGCAGAGATTGGGACTTAATCCCTGGTGTGCCGTGCTGGTTCTGCCCCCATGCTGCACTGTGATGGTGACTGAGACTGGGCTTGGTGGCGCACACCTGTAATCCCAGCACTTGGAAGGCTGAAAACAGGAGAATTACTAGGAGTCTGATCTGTGTAGTGAGACCCTGTAGACCCTGCACTAAAATACAAAAAAAGAAAAAGAAAAAGAAATGGAGACTGTCTTCTGTATTTTAAAATCTCCTTTGTTAAGTTGACTTTTTATAATTAGGTTTATTTGTAACTATTTTGCAGTCAGTTCATCTGTCTCAGACTGACTCTTCATGATGCAGCATAGGCCTTTCTTCTGTTGTCAGTGCTACGGTGTGCAGTGAGTGCTGGAACAGTGTTCAGACAAAATGTGATAAATGTTGGAGGAATTATTAGTATTATAA